CGGAGGCCCGGGCGCCTATCAGTACGGCCAGGGGTCTCCTCTCTACGGACCGTACCCTGGAGCCGCGGCGGCGGGACCTTGCGGAGGACTGGGGGGCCTCGGGGTGCCCGGGGCCGGCTTCCGCGCCCACGTCTACCTGTGTAACCGGCCTCTGTGGCTCAAATTCCACCGACACCAAACTGAGATGATCATCACGAAACAGGGCAGGTGAGCGCTGGGAAGGGACCCGGGGTGCGGGGTACAGGGCTGGCCGCGGGGGCGCGAGGGATGCTCCTGCTAGCTCTGCGCTCTGTCCGGGACCCGGGGTTGCGGGACTGGCCGCGGGGGGCGCAAGGGGTGCTCCTGCTCGCTCTGCGCCCTGTCCGGGACCCGAGGTGCGGGGCACGGGGCGGGCTGCGGGGGCGCGAGGGGGTTTGTCCTGCTTGCTGTGCGCCCCGTCCCGAATGCTTTTCCCGCCGGGGATCTGGCGGGGACGGCGTGCTGCTCCAGCCGCACGGGTTTTTGACTACTCACCTTTCTCCCTGCCGAGTGATGGTCACGCTGCTCCCTCCCCCCCCCCCCGCATCCTCACCTGAACTGACTGGGGGTGTGGGTGGTAATGAACTTTGGGGCTCATCTACAAAGGACTCAGAGATCCGTAGGCTCCCCGCGAGTTAAGCCTGCGGAATAGGAAAGTCGCCCGAGCGGACTTGTGTTTGGAAGCCGGGGGCTCCAGTGTTGCGTCGGGCAGATGAGCGTGAGGAATAGGTGTAGGAAGCTTGGTTTAGGGGGTAGGTAGCAGGCCCTGGGGCCAGGACGTGGGTCGGGTTCTGAGAACATGGAAGTCCCAAGTTACTTCTGGAGAGGAGAGGGGTGAGCGTTGGGAGAGGGGTACGCAAACGAACACAAGTCCCCCGACAATTGTGCATTTAAAATTAATTTGAACGTTTAGCGGAATAGTAACAGACTGCTGAAAGAGTTGAGGAATTTGGGAAGCATGTGTATGAGAGAGATACTGTCCTCGGGGGGGGGGAATTACTTCGGGGCTTTAAGAATCGTCGGTTCGAACGTTTCCAAATAGAGTTGTGCCAATCTCTCTGTTTTCTGTTCACTGCAACCTTCTCAACCCTGTCTCCAGTGCCTACCTGGAAGAACCAGGGAGTGTCCTGGCGCGAATTCTCCAGCATCTGGATTTAAGTCACTCATCTTGATTCTTTTCCCTTGCACAGGCGGATGTTTCCTTTTTTGAGCTTCAACATAAACGGACTCAATCCTACTGCGCACTACAACGTGTTCGTAGAAGTGGTTCTGGCCGACCCTAACCACTGGCGCTTCCAGGGGGGCAAGTGGGTGACCTGCGGCAAAGCCGACAATAACATGCAGGGTGAGGCTTCCCGGGCAGGGAAGAAATCCCAATCCTTGCCTCTTAACGACTCACATTTAAATCTAACCTCTTTCCACCCCACCTTCCCCCTCCGATCTGGGGTTTAGAGAAGTCAGTGTAAGTTTCTTCGGGTAAACAATCACATTTCAGTCATAGTCTTGTGTACCTGTCACAGGTGTTTAGAATATTTAACAGTGATCCTCTTCCACTTCCCTCCCCCTATGTTTAAGAAACTAATAGTCATCTAAGCCTCTGGTTGGAAATGGCTCCTGACATGTTCCCATTAGCTAGAGAAATTCCTGACTAAGCTTGAGATCACCGAGAAAAGTTCAACCACTCTCCAGCTTTAGAAGGTCCCACATTAACCTTTAAGAGTCATTTTCTGTTGACTCTGTTTTTAAGTTTTGAGATACTGTCCAAGGGAAGGGCAGCTAGAAGCACCCGGAACCAGAAAGGAATATCAGTGGAATCCTGCTGCTCTCCCTGATCTCTGTAAGCAGCTATTCCTGGAAGGATTATGCTGCAGATCTGGCTCTTATATCTTGTTCATAGCTAAGATACATCTTTCCCCTATCTCCTTCCACAAATACCCCGATATGCTGAGGTTATGTGTTTTGTTTCATTTTCTCTTAGGCAACAAAATGTATGTTCACCCAGAGTCTCCTAATACTGGTTCACACTGGATGAGACAGGAGATTTCTTTTGGGAAATTAAAACTCACCAATAACAAAGGCGCAAATAACAACAACACTCAGGTAGGTGGCAAAAGAAGAGGGAGGGTTTTCTGGCTGTTGGTCTCCTTTCTAAGGAGAACTTATACTCTTTACACTGTGTTTATAATTTTTTAAAATTGTTACCTATTTGCTCATTTTTTTAAAATTTACTTTTCTTATTTTTACGTCCCTACTGGATTTCATTAGCAGTGAGTTTACTACTAGGAACAGAAATACTGAAATCTTTGGAGGGGGCACTTAGAAAGTCTTTCAAACACAGTGCTGTTTTAAGTTTCAAAAATGCCAGTGGTGAGATCTTGAAAACAGTGAGCAGGTTGGAGTCTCATCCCCAAATTTGGCAACTCTTTTTCTGTACTGTTTCCAGATGATAGTCTTACAGTCTTTACATAAATATCAACCACGACTGCACATTGTTGAAGTTACAGAGGATGGTGTAGAAGACTTGAATGAGCCCTCAAAGACCCAGACTTTTACCTTCTCAGAAACACAGTTCATTGCAGTGACTGCTTACCAAAACACTGATGTAAGTACCCCAAACACCCCAAGAATCTCTAAAGCTAAGTCAGTAAGCTGAAAACACGAAATGACTCTCCCTTCTATCTCCCCTATCTAGATTACTCAACTAAAAATTGATCATAACCCCTTTGCAAAAGGCTTCAGGGACAACTATGATTCGTAAGTATAGTTTTCATTTATACTTTATGGTCATCCTTTATTTTTTCTTTTTCTCTTTTTCATGTTTTGACATGATCACTTTGCTGAGGGTATTATTCTAGGAAGAATTTTCAGATTTTGCATTTTATCTATTTATATTTTTGCATATTGTTCATCTCAACTAATTGCATTTTAGAATTTTCACAGAAAACTTTAACTGCTAAACAAATATTAAGGGCTTAAATACTGAGCACTTTCGCCCCCTCCTCACATTTGATTAGTGATTTAAATTTTTAAGCATCTGTATTATGTGTATCCTCTTTTCATTTGGTCCAATTTTTTATTTTCACAAGAACAGATACATATTTTTAATTCCTACTTTTTTACATTAAAAAACTCAACACTAAGAATTTATTTTTTCACACCATCCAACAAAAAAGCCTTGGTTTTTAAAATGAGCGGTCTATTTTATTTTATTTAATTTTTTGGGTCTGGTCATGGGGCCTGAACTCTGGGCCTGGGCGCTATCCCTTAGCTCTTCAGCTCAAGGCTAGCACTCTACCACTTGAGCCACAGCGCCACTTCTGGCTTTTTTCTTTTTGCTTATGTGGTGCTGAGGAATGGAACCCAGGGCCTCATGCATGCAAGGCAAGTGCTCTACCACTGAGCCACCATGAGCGGTCTAACACATCTATTATCTTGCCAAGTAGAATTGCTCTTAGTTCTTTGTATGTAAGGACTTGCAAAGGCAGATTTTCTGTAGCTTGAATACCTAATGTTGGATAATTTTTCCCACGACCCAAAAGTCCATCTCCTGCCTCAGTTTCCTCTTGTCTGAAATACCAGCCTTCTTAAGACAACTGACAAGGTCAAAGCATTTTTCATTTCTGGGAGGTTTGGGAACAAGATTATTTTTTTATTTTTAATTTTTTAAGTGTTTCTCTTTATATTGTAGCATGTACACGGCTTCAGAAAATGACAGATTAACTCCATCTCCCACGGATTCTCCTAGATCCCATCAGATTGTCCCTGGAGGACGGTACGGAGTTCAAAACTTCTTCCCGGAACCCTTTGTCAACACTTTACCTCAAGCCCGATATTACAATGGAGAGAGAACTGTGCCACAGACCAATGGCCTCCTTTCCCCCCAACAGAGCGAAGAAGTGGCCAACCCTCCCCAGCGGTGGCTCGTCACGCCTGTCCAGCAACCTGGGACCAACAAACTAGACATTGGTTCCTATGAATCTGAATATACTTCCAGTACCTTGCTCCCATATGGCATTAAGTCTTTGCCTCTCCAAACATCCCATGCCCTGGGGTATTACCCTGACCCAACTTTCCCTGCAATGGCAGGGTGGGGAAGTAGAGGTTCCTATCAGAGGAAGATGGCAGCAGGCCTACCATGGACCTCCAGAATGAGCTCTCCTGGGTTCCCTGAAGATCAGCTCTCCAAGGAGAAAGTCAAAGATGAAATTAGCTCTTCTTGGATAGAAACACCTCCTTCTATCAAGTCTCTAGATTCCAATGATTCAGGGGTATATACCAGTGCTTGTAAGCGAAAGCGGCTGTCTCCTAGCACCTCAAGTAATGAAAATTCTCCTTCCATAAAGTGTGAGGACATGAATGCAGAGGAGTACAGTAAGGACACCTCAAAAGGCATGGGGGGATATTATGCTTTTTACACAACTCCCTAAAATATTATTTGAACTTCTTGAACATTAGCAAACATTTGGCAGATGGACTTTGTGGTGTTTTATGTTGTCTTCTTTGCTAGGTTGCCAAAAAGACATTTGCCTTCCAACTTGATGCATCCTATTTTGTGCAATTCTCCAAAAGAAGGTGCCAAAGCTTTTTGATTGCTGCAGGTAACTGAAACAAACCTAGCAATTTTTTTTTTCTTTGCAGAATAAAGTTAATGGAGGAGTTTCAAATGTTTTTTTTTTTAACAAATCAAAGGTTATTCATTGTTTGGGACTTATTTATTGGAAACACTATAAACAACCAGAGACGTTAACTTACGGAGATTGAGTGTCCGAAATATCAAATGAATTACAACCTTTGCCTTTTTACCTGTAAGACTTTAAGCAGATAGAAGCTGCGTGTGTTAAGCTGTTCTGCTTCTGGAAGAAATAGGCTGGGCCCTAAGCACAACAGGGGACTTCCTGCTGTCACCTTCATGAAGGGACTAGAGATATAATGCCTGGGAATCAAGGAGTCTTTTGTGAAAGTGTTACAGTCTTAACCTGACTTTGATTCCTTGCAGGCTTTTGGAACAAGCCATGTTCTTCTTTCTAGACTTCTGCTGTGTGTTGGAGGGGCCTGTAGGACTTAAGAAAGAATGAGGGAGAGACAGAAAAACAGAGTGGGAGAAGGAATTAAAAAAAAGAAGGCAGAGGAAGAATTTAAAAGTGTACAATGTGTGTTTAGCTACTTTGTAGAATAATGTGGAATATACTGTACAATTAGGCTACATAGGTATTTGAGACAATGTAAAATTGGTGCTTTGGCTTTGTAATGAAGTTGTAAATTACCTTAACAACAGTTGCAGTGGTATGGGGAACGTTTCATCATTTCAGTGACATTTGGGAATATTGCTTACTTCTTAGGTTAGTTAAGAATGTATTCAGCTACTCTGTACTAACTTGAGCCACAGTTAAGAAAATCCCAATTTCATCCTCTTCGTTGGCCTCCCCACCCCCCACTTTGGTAATGTGAAAAAAAAAAACAAACCTACAATCTGATGCCACATTTCCTATAGGCTTTTTAGAGGTCTTGGATTTTTATGTACAGTCTTATTCATTTTTAATAAATGTGGTTCAATCAGGAAATGGGCACAGCTCTGCTTTCTCTTCCTGTGTATTTTATGCTGTGTTAAAAAAAAATCTCAGTTTACTTTTTTAGCCCATGCTTTTCCAGCAGTGCGAACACTGCTTATACTTACTGGGTCCCCTTCCCCCACATGGAAGAGTCCAAAATCTTTTACCTGGATGGTGGTAGTAGTGAGGGGGTAGGGTGGAGATGCTTTTGTTGTCCCCTTTTTTCTCCTAGAAGATAAATGGAGCTTATTTCCTGACCCTACTGGGATTTCTGAACAATGAATGTTGGTTGAGAGTGGAATGGAGAAGAGTGTTTGCAGCTCAAGATGCAGTCTGCCTACTGCAGACTTAATCCGAAACCTGGAAAACCCCCACACTTGACGCATAGTCACTTAGCCTTTTCCTGGATTTACTGGTGGCCACCAACTTTTGGGTTTATGTAAGTTCCCTGGGATCACCCATGTCCTTTTCAGTGCCTAAACACTAGCTAGTAATGGCTCTAATGCAGGCTGCCAGCCTTGGTCACTGCTGCAGGTGGCTCTTTGCTGGCAGACAAACTGGGTCAGGATGCTACTTCTGTGACACTAGCTAAAACTGGGGGTGGAGAGGATCTACAAATCCTCTGTTTTTACAGTCCCTCTTGTCCCACACACTGGTTCCCTGCGAACAAGGTATAGGACAGTGGTTTCTTTTGCTCTTAGATAACTTGTCTTGATTGCCAGGGAGGACACGAGGCATTCCATGCCCTGGCTCAAGTTTGTCAAAGTTAAACCAAGGAGTAAAGGCCTTTTGTGTCTGCCTCGCCTACCCTCCTCCCACAAGGCTCTGCTAGACATCCTACCAGGTTTATCAGCAGAAGGCTTAAAGCCCAGCTTGCAAACCCTTCTATCCTCCTTCTCACCTTGGGATAAAGGTCTGCCTGGGAGGGTCATTCTAACTGGGCAACACGGAAATGCAGCTGCTAAGAGGATTAGCTGCTGGGAAGTGAGTGATGAGCCAGGACCTCCTCCCCTTCTGCTCCTAATTAAAGCCGTCAGGAACCTTTACCTGGACTGTACACTCTCCATTTCCTCCATCCTCCTGGGGCCAGAGCTTGTCCTATGCCATCAGGGGGGGCTCAACTTCAGCTCTGTTTCCAATGGTGCCTGTTTAAAAGTCTGACGAAGCAGCTCCAACCCAAATGTTGCTGTAAAGCCAGCTTGAATGCTTTGGACATTTCTTTTCTTAATATGTATTTATTATGGATGACAGATTTGGACTCGGGACAGGGAAATGTGCAACCTTCCTAACTTGGTCAGCACTTTCCTAGTCCCTATGATATACCCAAACCCAACTGTGGTGTATTGGGAAATGCTGTGGGATTTCAAAAAATATTCTATTTCTGACCTCTAGAAAGCCCCAAAATGCTAATCACAGGCAGGATAAAGAGGACTTTGCCTCTAGTCTATTTCAAGTCCTTTATATTTTTGCACTGTACAGTAAAAAGAACCCGGTACTTGTGAAAAGTCCCTCACAGTGTTTAATAGAAACGTAAGTGGCTGAGTGGCCCCAATTAACACCTTGTGATAAGGCATTCCTAAGATGGAGTGTCAGACACCAAATTGCGAAGAGATGTATCTAATTAATCCTCCTAGGGTGACACCGATAAACAAGACTCCCTTTAAATAAAGATCAAGTACTCAGAGACTGGTTTGTTTACTTTCTCTCCAGGGGTCCTGCAGTTTGCTGGCCCGTGAGCTTGCTGGGTCCCTGGCCTTCTGGGTGGAGACACTGGTCTTGGGGGTCTGCTAGCTCACAAGGTTTAGCTTTTCCTAGATTCTTGCCACAAACTTAATTAATCTGCAACAAAATTAAAGCTGCAACAGAAAAGGGGAAGAATAGTACGAAAAACCCCACACCTGACCAAGAATCAGGAATGCTATCATTTTGTGTCATTTTACATCACCAAATAGTTCTGGTGGTTTGGGGCAAACAGGGAAAGGTATAAAAATGCAACCTAAATCCCCCGCGGGCATGTTTTCTGTTTAAGGGAGAATCCGGAACAAGACCTTTCTTCGACTCACACAGTCCTGGAACATGTTAGCTCACTCTGTTTGCTTCAAAGTTTTGAAGTCAAGAATTCCTGGGGTGTAGAGTAAGCTCTTCTGGGAGTAGGGTGAGAGCATCACCAATGACTGACAAAAGCAGGAAGAATCTGAAAAGTGTTTGGACAGGAGAGGAAGCTGCAGATTGAGTTCAACATATTCTTTGGCCGTGTTTGGGTCCCAGTTTGGAGCCAGTTTTTCAGCACCATCTTATCTCCCCATACTTCATTGGTGTCCTGGTTTCTTTCCTTTTAATTAAGCTTTCTTTCCTTTTAATTCTTTGCTTTTAATTAAGCTTTACATCTGAGTAAAGGGAGGCTTGCGCTCTTCTTTCTGCAGTCTCTCCATTCTTTCTCAAACATGGGCAGAGAAAGCATCCTATTTAAAACACACGCACACGCACACACACACACACACACAGCAACAATAAACCAGAGTGACAGAGTGAAAACTCTGCAGATGCCATAGAAGTGCTCTAGAGTTAAAAAAAAAAAAAATCTTTCCCTCAACCTCTCGGTTTTTATCGACATTCCGTGGTCAGTAAGCCACCATGGAAAGTCACACCTTTTTAGCCTGCTTGGACACTGCTTTCCTCCAAGTATATTCTCCACTCTGCTACATGCAGACGCCAGATATTTAGCTTTTACTCTGTGGAAATTTCTAAGTAACCAGGAGATATTTTTTAAAAGGTAGTTTGCAAAATGAAAGATTTAAAAATGAAACTGTAAAAAAAAACCATGTCGTCGATCTTGATTGTGTCTCCCTCTGAAATATACGTCGTCTTTCAAGTTCAGACTTTCAAATATGCTAGCTGCATTAGTTCAGTTTTAGGAACCCAATCCAAGAAATCCATTTCTTTCTACCTATCATGTCAGATTAATTTCTGCCTCCAACAGAGACCTGGGCCAGCACACGGGCTTGATGTTTACATCATATGCAGCATAAAACAGAACACAATCTGGCTGAATTTCCTTCTGGGTGCTGGAGTTGTGAAGTTACTGAAACCTCTCCCTTCCCTTCCCTTCCCTTCCCTTCCCTTCCCTTCCCTTCCCTTCCCT